TGTCTTCTTGACATTGAGCCTCAGTCCATACTGAAGGCTGCAGTCCTTGACCCTCTGCAGTAAGTGCATGAGGTCCTCCTCAGTTTCAGTGAGCAAAGTTGTGTCATCTGCATAACGCAGATTGTTGATAGATCGTCCATCAATCCTAATGCCACGCTTCATTAAGTCATCTTATTCCTTTTTCATCTCTTCATCTCAAGAAATACATTATCACATATCTTTCCACTCATACACTTTCTCTTTTCTCATTCTCATATTCACACACACTGATCCTAAACCTCCCACTCTTACACTCACTCATATGCCCACACTTGGACACATTTCCAGACACACGCTCTAATTACAATTTCATATGAAGAGAAAAGAATACTTGGTAAAGTAGAGGGTCCAATAAAAGATGAAGACTGTCAGCACTATGGATTACACTGCAGCTGCAGCAGGAGGTTCACACATTCAATGCTGTGAGGATAGTGTCTCATTTTGCATATAGGGTCACTATGAATCAGAACCAACATAACTGCACTTAACAGCACCAACAACAACATAACTGCTTTTAGAAAGTCAAGAGGAAACAAGAAAGACCACAGAATAAAACCAAAATATTTACATTGAGCTTATTCTCCCACTTTTTCTTTTCCATTATGTCTGAATTAATTATCCATTGTAGAGAAGTATTGACAAGGATTTCAATTTCAGATATTTCTTTATGCTGAAAAAGAGAAAAAGAATTTCACACCTTTAACCAGGAATTTAGGTGAAACTTACATGGTGTTATATAAGAAGAAATTTAGAATAAATTTTATGCAAACCACAGAAAATTTCTACTGTGTATGTAACTCAAGAAGATGCTGGTGAGAGAGTCTTCCACTCATTGCCATTAGTCAGTCTCTTGACATCGAAATCCTGAGGTATAGTGTAGCCCCGATACAGAGCACTCCACATGAGTCATTTTTCTTCTCCTTTTAAATAGAATAAATGAGCATTTCTACTGATTTTTTAAATTTATCTAACAATATCTTCCCCACTGTGCACTAGGTCCTGTGAAGATGATTAGAAATACCAACCTAGTGGTTTGAGCCCACCAGATGCTCTTCTGGAGAAGGAGGGGCAGTCTCCTCCTGTACCAGTCAGATCCAATTTGACGGTACACGCACAAAAAAATAATAATAAGAAAAAAAGAAATACCAACATAAAAATGTGGTTATCTGCTTTCTTGGACCATCTCGTGTTTCTACTGAAAAATAAAAATGGAGAATGAGTTTCTAACCATTGTTGCTGTTGTTGTTGCTGTTACATATCACTGCGTTGGAATGGACCATTAGCTGAGCTCCAGCAAGTTTTCAGAGGCAGTAAATCACATCGGAAGTGACTGCTCATCCTTCTCCCATGGAGCAGCTGGTGGATTTGAACTGTGTACTTTTGGGTTGACTGTGCAGTTCCTTACCACTAAGTGATAGCAATGTTCAATATATACTATATGTACTACATGTCATATGCCATCAAGTCAGAACCAGCCCACAGCTGACCCTCCAATGGGTTTTCAAAGACAGTAGAACACACAGGAGGAGATTGTCTAATCTTCTCCTGCAAAGCAGCTATTGGGTTAGAACTGCATACTTTTGGGATTGTGGTCTAGCTTCTTGCCACTAGGCCATAAGAGTTCCCGTTAAAGATTAACTCAAAGAAAACCCAACCTCTTAAATCTATAATTGTCATTCTGTTAATCCTGATTGAAAATGAGAAGATTTTAAGGAAAGGCTAGAGAAAACTTCTCTTTTCACAGCAGGATTACTTGGGGTCTCAAAAGTGTATAAATATGGTCTTGCTCAGCACACAGGCTACAGAGGAATTAACAACAGTCTTAGGCAAAGTGAAACACCACAATATGTGTACATTATACACTACCAGCTTCTGAAATATAGCTTCAAATTCCACTCCTCTTTGTCCAGGTTCTCTCAGTAATGCCAGCATTTCTTGATCCATCTCTATATCCTGATAGGACAAGTTGATTAAATGACATTGCCGTTCAGTTTCATCATTCTGAAATAATCACAATGTCCACAACTCTGTCATCATGATAAAACTCCATTTAACTGACTCATTGCCATCAAGTTGGAACCAATTCATAACTGACTTTCCACTGGGCTTCTGAAGCTGTAAATTGCACAGGAGTAGAGGAGATTGCCTATCTGTCTCCCACAGAGCTACCGGTGGATTCGAGCTGCCAAAGAGGTATGGACTTCAGATTAGCAGCACAAATTCCTAAGGACTAGACCACCAGAGCTGCCTGTCATCATAGTAAAGATTTTCACTTTGTGAACGTGATATCTATGGGTCAATGAAATAAATGATCACCACCAAAGAGACTTGAAAAGTCTTCTTGAATCTTCCTACATTTTAAAAGAAAACAAAGAACCAGCTTGTATTTTAACTTTAAGATGACTTTCATCATATATTTATTCTATCTTAAGGAAAACATTTATTCAATATATAACATTTATATATCTAAACCAAAAAAAATGAAAATGTGATACAAATTGCTACAGCTATTATGTAGAAATAAAGGAAGGAAAAAACCCTACTGGGGCATTGCTTAACCATTACTTTACAAATTAGCTGGTTTCCTTTGTTTCTTTCTCCAACAAATAGAAAACACAGAGAGAATATTTCCCAAAACACTTTTCCTACACAGTGCTCTCAAATGCCTTGTCTCCTGTTATGTTTTAAGTATAAGAACATTTTCTTTTCCCTTTTGGTCTTGCTGTCTGTCAGGAAAAGTTGAGGGGGTATTATTTTCAGATTTCACTTAGAAGTCAAACTGATTGATCCATGTTGTCTTGATGTGGACTCTGCTTCATGGGGACCCACGTGTGTCAGTGAATGGCTTCTCCATAGACTTCAAGGACTGGCTGTAAGAAGTAGATCCCAGACCTTCCTCCTGAGGTACTTGTAGGTGAACTCACACCTCAAACATTCCTGCAGGCAAACCTCAGAGCAGAACCTTTCTGGCTGGTCCCCTTCTGTGTGGACGAACAGATCCTTTTGGCCAGGCATCTTGACATCATTATTATCTCAGAGCTCAGAGGATAAAAACACAGTGCCGTGGCAGATTTACCCCGGTTTCGTTCAGTCTGGCAATTTGGCTTGGTTTCAAACACACAGAGAAATGATGAGTTTTTCAAACAGGGTGTGAGGAAGGCAGAGGCCTCGGCAGTTTCTCCAAGGCTGCCTGAAACAGCTTCAGATACAGGCTGCATATGTTGTCCCTGCTTCCTTGGCAGGAGAACTCAAACAGCATTTGCCCCAAAGACCTTCTTCCTCCCCTTTCAAGGTCACATCGCAGCTGTCAACATGAGGACATTCTGACAGATCCATGGGCCATAGCCACAGGGAGATGATCAAATGTGGATAGAAGGCAATCTGCTAAATAAAGCATTTCCTAATATAGTGCTCATAAAACTGCAAAGTACAAAGGAGTGAAACATACCATAGGGGGTCCCAACAATTTCATCCCCCCAAAAAGTTTTTGATCATTACAAAAAATTTGGTCCATCAAACAGCTATTAACCCCTCCCAAAAAAAAACCTCACCCACACTGTAATTCATTTTACTATCTTTTTAAAATTTTTCAAAAGGGGCTGACATTTTTAAAATTTTATTTTAATAATTTTAATGAACATTTACAGAGATTTTGGATTTCCATTCATTCATTGTTGCACTTTTCTCCCTGCCCGGCCCTCCCCTCTGTCCCCCCCCCAAGTTTGGTCCTCTCTTTGAAAAAGTAAAAGAAAAATTCTTTTCCCTTCCACCGCCCCAGGTACACTCCACTATGCACCCTTAATTCTGGACTCTTGTGATATCTATAATACCCTATCATATATTGCTTTTATTCTCTCCCTCATCTGTTTCAATGAAGTATACATAATTTATCCAGTTTTTCTCAGTCTTATCCCAACCCTGATATCAGTCCCATTCTACAACAATGGCACCATGCAGTGTTTGTCCTTTTTGTGACTGAGATATTTCACTCAGCATAATGTCCTCCAGGGTCACCCATTTTGAATAATATTGCATGAGTTCCTTGTTTTGCAATGCAGTGTAATATTCCATTGTGTGAATATACCACAGCTTCTCTATCCATTTGTTTGTTGATGGGCACCTGGATTGTTTCCAACTCCTAGCTATTGTGAACAAATCTGCAATAAGCATGGCTGTGAATATATGTGCTTGGGTGTCAGTTATGGTCTCTTTGAGGTATATTCCCAGTAGTGGTATTGCTGGGTCGAATGGTATCTCTATTTGCAAATTTTTGAGAAACCGCCATACCACCTTCCACAGTGGTTGCACCATTTTACACTCCCACCAACAGTGAATAAGGGTTCCAGTTTCTCTACAACCTCGCCAGCATTCGTTGCTTGCTGTTCTGTTAAATTTTGCTATTCTGACTGGGGTGAGATGATATCTCATAGTTGTTCTCTCTTAGAGCTAGGGATTTTGAACATTTCTTCATGTGCTTGTTGGTCATCTGAATGTCTTCTTTGGTGAAATATTTGTTCATATCTTGTGCCCATTTTTCAATTGGATTATTGACCTTTATCTTGTTGTGGTGCTCAAGTATCTTATAAATTCTAGATTTAATTCCCTTATCTGACATGTCATTCCCAAATACTTTTTCCCAGTCTATGGCTTCCCTTTTTACCCTGTTGGAGAAGTTTTTGGATGTGCATAGAGATTTGATTCTTAGAAGGTCCCATTCACCTATTTTTTTTCTTCTCCTGATTGTAGAAGGGGCTTACATTTTTAAGAATTTTTTAACTTGGTTTTCATTCATTCACAGACATTATTTTGAAACATCATCAAAATTTATCAATGCCATTTCATTTATCTCAACAAATCCTCACTGTACCTTGTCTATGCCTTCATTTTACCCATCTATCCACTAATCTCTGCTGCCCTAGCATTTTTCTTTCTTCCCTCTATCCTTCCATCTCCTTCTCCCCTTCTCCCTTCCTATTTGATCAGCTATGCATATTCTATTCCACATTGTTAATCACAATACCACACTGTCTCTTCATCCGTTTGTTCCAGGTTTATCCTACCTTCCCCTAATCCCTTATAGTGGTAATTGTCTGTCCATTCTATTTCTATATCCACACCCTTACCCCCATTGTTGTTGTTAGATGTTTTCAAGTCCAGTACGACTCTATGAATAGCTAGCCTGAACCCTGCCCTACCCTGTGCCTTCCTCACCATCTCAAACATTCAAGCCCATTCTGAAATCACTGCATCAATCCATTTCATTGAGGTCTTCCTCTCCATTGTGATCTGCACATTCTTCCAAGCATGATGTCCTTCTCCAATGAATAGCCTTGCCTATCTAGATGACCAAAATATGAAGACTTCACTCACTTTGAGTCTAAGTAGCACTCTGGCTGTACCATCTCCAAGATCTAACTATTTGTTCTCGTAGTTCATGGAATAGTCAGTATTCTTCTCCAGCACCACAACTCAAAGGCATCAATTCTTCTGTTATCCTTATTCATTGACCAGCTCTCCAATGTGTAGCAGGTAATTGAGAAGACCGTGGCTTGAATTAGATGTACCTTAGTCTTCAAAGGGACATCTTTGCTCGTCAGTGCTCTGCAGAGGTCCATGACAGTGGACTTGCTCATTACAATGTCTCTTGATTTCCTGACTGATGGGTGTTTA